TATGCCTTTGCAGACGTCGATGAGGCCTCGAAGAAGGAAATCAAGGACATTCTGGTCCAATACGACAGAACCCTGCTGGTAGGCGATCCACGTCGCTGCGAGCCCAAGAAGTTCGGCGGTCCAGGTGCCCGTGCCCGTTACCAGAAGTCGTACCGTTAAGCTTTCTGCTGCTTTTCAAATTGGATTAGATATTTTGTACAAGTTGAAAACATTTGCGCGTCTCTTCACTTCAGTACGATGAGCATGTGAATAAAAACGGAATAATTAACTTTATATGCTTAAACAGTGGACTTTTTGGGGGTTGACTTAAATTGTTGAATATATAAATTTCATTCAGTTTGTTTCCTTGACTAACTCGCTAATTGAACAGCTTAATACGAATTTTCAAGCAATTCCATTGTCTTTTATTGCTATAGTAAATAAAGAACTTAACTTTTATAAAATTGTTCATAAATTGTGAATATTTAAATGTCGATAAGTATGGCTAATTTATAATTTATAACTCCAATGCAAAGGTTATTATGAAAGTCATAAAATTAGGTATTTTAGCTTCATATCATAATTAAAAATTCCCGAAATATAAGAATTCAAATTAATTTAGTAAATATCGAAAATAGAGCAAACATCGATTAAAATATGACTGGCAATACATCGTTTCCTTTTCGTATCGATATTTCATATGCTTCTCCCATCTCTAGCGTCAGCATCGCGATTCTGAAAAAACGGCGGTAGAAACGCCGTTGCAAGTTTGTATGGATGGCAAAGAGGAATTAAACAACAGCTAATTGTTATTAAAGCATAGATAAAATGTATGTGAAGAAGTTAGTGCTTGATGGCTTCAAGTCCTATGGCCGGCGCACTGAAATCGAAGGATTCGATCCAGAATTTACGGCCATAACAGGTCTAAACGGTTCAGGCAAATCAAATATTCTGGACTCGATTTGTTTTGTGCTTGGCATCAGCAATTTGCAAAATGTATGTGAAATAAATGATCATTAAAATATATGCTAATATATTCATCTATCTTAGGTGCGTGCATCTGCGCTGCAAGATTTGGTCTATAAGAATGGCCAAGCGGGCATCACGAAGGCAACGGTCACAATCGTATTCGATAATACAAATGCACAGCAATGTCCGCCGGGATATGAGAAGTGCCGCGAGATCTCGGTGACACGTCAAGTGGTTGTTGGTGGCAAGAATAAGTTTCTGATCAATGGCAAGCTGGTGCAGAACAAGAAGGTTCAAGACTTCTTCTGCTCCATGCAGCTCAATGTCAACAATCCGAATTTTTTGATTATGCAGGGCAAGATTCAACAAGTGCTGAACATGAAGCCCAAGGAGGTAAGCAAAAATACCATTTATGGCCATGGGAGATATCTTTATATATAGTTACTCAGGTGCTGTCCATGGTCGAGGAAGCAGCCGGCACCAGCCTGTACAAGACGAAGCGTGATGCGACCAAGACCCTCATTGAAAAGAAGGAGGGCAAGTTGCGGGAAACCTCAGCTCTGCT